ATCAGATATCTGCTGCACTCTGTATCCTGTGATTTGTGTAGGCGATTAGATGAAAGTACAGTAATTAACTGGAAGGAAAGGAGCTCTCCTCTGGCACTGAGGCAAATAACTTTCACATTCATGAAACACCCCGAGGTGATCTCCATCGCAGGTCAATGATAAGAAACCACTAGAGGCATTAGAACAGAAGCTGAAAGGCAGGTTGCTTCGTAATGGGGGGCGGACAGTTACAGGGGATTATTAGAGAAGCAGACAGATCATATAAATGCACTTATTTTTAATGGAAACGACTAATAGGGTTTTAATTCCTCACTGTGTCACAGCTAATAAAGTCAAAACTCAATCTTTCAGCTCTTTTGGAACGTGGCATTGCCTAACTCAGCAGAAAATTGCACAGAATTGCAAAGAAGAGGCCGGCATTGAAGGCACATGGCATGATTTTGCTGCGATCTGGATAGCGCTGACTAGCCCTGGTCATCAACAGGGGTGTACGATGAAAGCCACAGGCTTGTGGAAGCAGTGGGAGTCATACTTTGCAACAGGGTCGTGCGGAATTCTGTCCAGTTCCTCTCACGCAGCCCGGAAGAGAATGTGCCCCCGCTCACTGGTCTCCGAGCCAGGTGGTGGCGCCATAAATATGCATAAATATGGATGTGCCACCTGCTGTCTGAGCTAATTGTGCATAGATTCAATGGAGCAAGTTGGGCAGAACTGTCACACTCCCCGAATTTCACATTTCATGTGTGAATTCCCACATTCACAAAAAGCCTTTGTCACACAGGCAGTATGAGGACCTGATGGATTAATATTCCTCATTCCTGTCATGTCAGATGAGCCTACAAGATGTATCTGATCAGTGTTTTGCTGAGAGTGAGGTTGCCCTCAGCTTTCTACACATGCAGTTCTGTAATGATTGTACACTTCTACCCAAACCATCACACCTAGACCTACCTGTCGATTGATCTGCTTTGCACAACAGTTAGCTCATAGCTGTGCACATTTACATAACGCTCACTGATGTCCATCAGTGTGGTGTACATGAAACCATAATTCATCACTAAGAAGGACTTAGTGCCACTGTGAGGGACAGATCACTGTCTTAGTCCACCCTCCACTATGGCACAAAACTATTGGTCCATTGATAGTTGGGGCATAGTGGTTTCTGTCTGTTCTTTTATTTCTTGAGTTTCACCAGGCATATTTTGAAATATTTTTAAACCACCTGTTGTGGGTAATATTCCACATAAGTGACACAGAGTATGAAAACAAATAATAATGTTTTAATATTTTCACTTAATGCAGTTTAAAGAGAGAAGTAAGATTTATTCCTGGTTCATTCTTTTTTCTATCTTTTCATGTAAAGACTGTTTGAGGGTTCTGCTAGATTATGATAGTTATGCTTTACTGTCCTATAGATGGACTTTCTGTATGCACAAAGCCATTACAGCAGAACTGCATTATATACACATGCACAGGAAAAGTATTCTACTGTTATATATATACAGTGTGTAACATGAGAGTAATCAAATACAGATGTAAGCTACAAAAAGAAATTCAGAATTACAACATAAAGAATTCAAACACTTTTAACACTGCTTCAGTGTCAAATTGTTTTTTTACTTTTATTAGCATTGACTGCAAAATCAGCCCTGAAGAAAACAGATTATAACAGAAGAATATATTTTTCCCCATGAAACAGTTGTCTTATTCTGTTATGCCCAGTGAAAATGTTGATTGCAATATTTTGAAAAATAGGGCGATTTCTGTATTGAAGGTACACTAAAGAGTTTTAAATTAACTATTATATAATTTGTTTTCTATAACATAAAACTTTTTTCTGTAAAATAAACTGTTCATTTCTCTATAAGTCCCATTTAACAACAGACTAAGTAAAGCACAATATAGACAGTAAATTATAAGAGTGTATTCGGAAGTACAACCAATTTATGAAAGGAGGAAAAAATGTTTTGATTGTTCCTATAAAATGTTTAAAAAGTGCACAAAAGTGTCATGTAGGCAATCTCACAAAACAAAGTCAAAAAGAAAAAATGATCATGTCCCATAGAAGTCCTCACATGCCAATTAAGCGAATTACAGGGGATTGTGCAAATTATCACTAGTTGTGCAAAGACCCAGTTTGTTTTTTTTCCCTTTGGATTGAAAGTCAGCTTTCTTCACCAAATATAATCAGAACACTTATTTTATGAACTTGCCAGGGTTTAATAGCCTCTCTGACAGAACCATCTGACTGCCCCAGATGGCTCAGAACAAGAGGCCTCTAACTGGAAACAGCCCTGGATATGGAGCTCCAGAACGCCAGTAATCTGGAACCAATTGTGCAAATGACTTCCTTCCCTTGCCAAGCAAAGCCGAGGGTCTTATGGGAGTCGCCCAAGCTTGAGAGAAAGGCATATGGAGCAAAGCTTCGAAAGAGGAATTCTTCCTCACTGTGTCTGGTGAAGTCACACAACTCATACAGGAGAACCAAGACAGCCATCTCTATCTAGGAGGCCAGCAAGCTCTTTGTCAGGGCTCCAGGTACAGTACGCATCACTTCTTCCGACGGCACATCGGTGATGCTGCTTTTCAATCACACTGTAGGCAGAGGCTGATATCCAGCACTCTGGTGCCAGTCTTTGGCTGCAGTAAACTACGCACCCCAAAACAAACAGTGTGTTAAATAACCCCCCTTATTGCTTTTTAACATTTCCATTATTTTTGCAATGAGGATGGAAGTTAGGCTTCAACTGCGCAGCTGTTTGATTCGTTTCAGGCTCACAGGCTGCAGGCTTTTCCCCCGAAATATGGTGGTGAAGTGCAATTCTAAGCATCTCCATATACAGTTTTTATTTCCATTCATATCTGAGCAGTGTTACTTAAAGAAGGATAATAAGCATGAAGCCTGCACCTGGTGTTGGTTTATATGCTCATAAAAGCTTAATCGGCTGCGAAGGCTATGTAATGGGAATCTTAATACTGTCCAAGACTGTAGGTTGTACAGTATTAAGTTATCGCTTTTTATTCTTCTGTATAAAAGAACAACTGCCACAAGAACAATCTGCTGGATTTGGGAAAAACCTTAGCACAGACCTCTTTTCTTGAGGACAGGTGGAGCCCTGTTGTCCAGATACAGTATCATTTCAAGGATTTCTGAATGCAAGTGTCTGTGAAAATCAACCATAACTGAACTATGCTGACTATGCTGACTGTTTGTCATGATTTTTCCAGATATCAGTGTTTTTCTACTTCAATACTCCAAATCCATTCCCGGGCTGTCTACTTAATTTGTAGGAGTTCATGAATATCATGCACAGTAAAATGATAGTGGAAAGGCTAGCTTCATTACACATAAACCACAAAGCGAAGATAACCACATATTTTATGGACGGCAGTGCAGCAACCCACTTAATGTAATATGCTGATAAACTAATGACAACAACAGCAAAACTCCAACACCAATTCTGATGTGCTTACAACTCGGGTGGAATGTGGAGTGACCCTATGAAGCAAGTAATCCCTAAAGCATGCTGAGCTTGGTGAGAAACAGAACAGGAATATGGCCTGAGAGAAAATTCCTTTTCCGCTTCTAGAGAAGTACACAGGCTCCTTGTATTACTTACCAGCCGTGATGACTGAGCTCCAGAGCTCTAGACCAGTACCAGAATGAATGGTTTGTGCAGGGTACCTCTGCCCACATCCCACACGACATTTCTGTTATGTGACTGTTAAAGGCATCAGCTGGGCTCAGGGACTGATAAAAATGCTCCTCGTTCACATTGTTTGAAAGCTTACAAAAGCACAAGAGTAGTACATAACATCCTTACCCTTCGTTTAAAAGCAGAGTGTGAGAAATAAGTCTGGATTTCCACAGCACACGTACTGTACTGTCTGGCCAGCTAGAATAAATGAGGGCTAAAGAGACAAACTCAAAACATACAGACACTAAGTTCACCTGCCAAGGAGTACATTACAAAGGTAGACTGAGTTAAATGCTCTTAAAAAAATGTCCTTCCTAGCTGTGCTTCAAGGCAGACAGTCCATCTTATTACCTCTTAGCCCAAGACTTCTTCTTTTGAACTGAAATCCTGCGTTATTTTAGTCTTTATTAAAAAGATCTCAGACATCAGACTAATTTGTGGATCCCAGTGTAAAATCCCTGAGCCCGCTTTTCACAGTGATTTTAGCTCTATATTTCAATTTTCCCCACACAGGTTCAGAGAACAGAAAGTTCTTCTCTTCCTCAAAGTGCTTCAGTGGGAAATAATGTTTTTTTTTAAAAGTGTCTTGATGTGCTTCCCACACCTGTTAACTGAAAAACAACTTGCACCCAGCCAACTAACCGTGTATCAGTAAGAGAGAAAAAAACATTCCAATAAATAAGACAGGAAAAACAGTAGTGACTCAGAAGTGGCTTGAACTTAACCGCAAATGTAATGGAAAAACATCTGAGTTCAGAGCACTGTTGTGTACCTAGAGCTCTTATCAAGGACAACAATAACCAAACCGAGGTGTTGGAAGTTAGCAGAACACAGGCTGATGATGCTACACATGTACTCAGTGCAAGACAGCGCCACATAATCACTGCAGCCACAGCCTTCCTTACTGTTCAGTGTGCAGTGATTCCTAAAGTGTGCCAGAAAGCACGTTCAGTCACATATACTGAACAGGGGGTACTCCCCGTGCACTTGCACTGCTTCAGTAAGTCAGCGAAGCTGTGCTACGCCCACAGCAGCCATAGGGGCCAGAATATGCTGCATGCTTTAATACTGGACTAAAGCCAGACACCTCATTAATAAAATCAAAACAAGAACGCTTCCCCCCAAGCACAGCCCGACCTCTGGCCTGATTCTGACTGACCTCCGCCTGTCCATGACCTGTAGAAATGGCAGCTGACAGCTTCCGCCTGGCACTTTCCTGCAGCCTGCCCCCCCCTGTGGAGACGCGCGCGCCAGCCGACTGACACGGGGAGCTGTGGGGGAGTGAAAGAGCGAGGGGCCCACCTGCTTTCCGGCCGGCGGGGGGGTCCTCTTTGCCACCCGCTTGGGCTCCTCGTTGCTCAGGGCGACCGGCTGCTTCAGGATGGAGCCGTTCTCCTTCTTGCTGGGCGGCGGCCTGGGCGTGGGCCCCGAGACGGCGCCGCGTGCCATGTCCTCGCTGCAGGTCAGCCGGGCGCCCTTCAGATACTCGTCCGTTTCTCTGTCCACCACCAGCAGCCGCGTCTCGCTCTCCAGGGCCTTGATTCTCTGCACCACCTGCAGCCGAAGGAGGACAGCGGGGGCTGAGGCTGCTGCGAGGCCCACTCCCACCGGGGTTTTACATGATTAAATAATTAAATATCATTAAATTAGGTACAAGGAAAAGTCCTCCTTCCGCTCTGCAGACAAATATGGAAAGCTCACCAAAAATACAGCATAAGGAGCAGTGGACCATTTTCGCTCCGAGCTGAAAATGTGTCAACATTGCTGACAAAGCATTCTTATGTCGGTATCTCTTTATGGGACAAAATGTGGAATATTTAGGTTTAGAAGTTGGCCAGAATCTGATACAACTATAAAAACAACAATAATTCCTGCTTTGGTTCTGACAGAACATCCAAATTGCACATTCCAGCAAAATAAAAAAGACCAAGGGTCTGTTTTGGATTTGTTTACTACAGAGGAGGCAGTTTACACCCTGACAAAATAAGGATCTGAGAGTAAAACGAACTTTGAAACTGATTAAAGTAAACCAGATGACATGTATGGAAAGCCACAAAGAAATGAAGTCTACTGTAGGTATGCCACAGTCTGCCACAAGGAGCAGTAACATTCTTGATTGAACCCACCAATTGAATTTATTGAGTCTCCACTTGGAAGCTGTTAATCCCCAGTTTAATAGGCCCTTATCTCCCCTCACAAGGGTGAATGACTCCAAAAACACAAAGCAGAGAGAGGAAAGAATGTAAATACTCCCATGGAGTGACTCTATTCCCTAGGAGAGTGCCAGCTCTTGTCTTTGATTCATGGGGTTTGGTGAGGACTTTAATATGAAGCATCTAATAGCTCATTTAACAAAACACCCTTCTTTAATGTGCAAAGACTTTTTGGGATTTCAAAGTTCAGACTATCCTTGTCATTACTGACAATAAAAAAAAAATGTCTCACCTGCTAAAGAAAACAGAATTATTATTTTTTTGTGTTTCTTAATGAGCTGGTCAGTTCACTAAGATTCCTGTAGACTCACCTTGAGTGCCAAGATGGCTAATACAGCTTTCTAACAATACTAACAGACAAATAAATGTAATGTATTCACCTATAATGTAATCATTGCATACTAATTTTTCACCTAATTTGTCAGACTAAGGGCTCATTAAGTTATAATTATTTTCTGCATTTTTATTTTGTGATTAAACAGAGACAGGAGAAAATCTCTTCCCTGCAAACCGAGTCCCAGAGCAAAAGAGGGAGCAAAGCAAGACTGATTGGAAACTAAAGTTTTTTCGTTGGACAAAAAAAGCACAGCACAAGCACTCCAATTGATAAATGAGAATGGCACCAGTTGTTAAACTAAAATACTACTAAAAATGCTGAACGATATACAACAACGTATATGACCTTTCAGTAATCCATACAGGTGTTAAAAAAATGTAACACTTTTTCTATGTGGCAAAACAAAACATTTTGACAATGAAGCTACAAAGTATTTGAGGAGTTACGTCCTGAGAACTACTACATGAACGATTATTTTATGTGCTGAACTGTCCCTTCCTTGGAGACAATTTCTCCCTGCACACAATGGTTCTGTGCTGGTACGGCCAACTGCACGGAGCAAACAAACACCCGTTTGTTGTGGCATCAGTCATTTGTCTTCACAATAACTTCCTTGGCTATGCGTAGAAATTGAAAGAATAAAGCATTTCGTTTGTTACGAGGAAACCGAACTCAAATAATATAAACAATGTCATATGATGACATTTATTTAAGAACCGAAAGCTTCCACTGAATTCTCTAGGACCTAGGGCATTCCCAATAAACCAAGCAGAAAGGTTTCAATTTACAGTAACTTCGGGTGTTCAAGCGCTTTTTAAAGGGCACACCAAGCTAAATGCAGTGCCAATAAAACCCAGAGTTCGGTTAAAAAGGTTGGTCAGATCTAACCTGCCCTCAGCTTTCCAGTTCATACCACCGGGCAGGTCTTGATACGCGCACGGTACTGCAATTTCCAACGTTATTTGGGCAAAGAAATGACGGCATTAGCGCAAAAAAGATGGGGTCTGGGCACAGTTTCTGGGAACATTGGCTGCTTCATCACCGTCACAAAATACGACCGAAGAAAGGTCTAACCAAAGGCTGTGGGGGCAACGGGATGTTCAGATAGTGTTTCGGCACTTACTTGGTGATGCGTTTCTTTTTCCACGTTGTCACCGTTCACCTCCACCACTCGGTCCCCTGCTCGGAGCCCAGCAGCCTCCGCGGGTGAGCCCAGCTCCACTTTGCGTATGTACTGGCCACTTTTCCCTTTCTCGCCGTGCAAATGAAAACCATACCCATTCTCCCCTTTCGTCATGAAACAAAGCCGCGGTTTCAGCTCCTTGGTCATGTTTGTCACCAGACCAATTTCTGCGTTTTCACTTTTTGTTATCCACCTGAAGACTACTGTCGTCCTCTCCCAGTGCACGTCCGCCCGACTGCTCGCTCGACGCAGTCCCTTTAAACTTGCTGCCGATAATTTTCCAAAGACCCGAAATGTGAGGATTATCGCTAGGGATTTTCAAAACATTGACCACAAAAACGAAAAACGCACAGGATGAAAGTTCCTTAGGTTAAAAGTATATCCACAGGCGTTTAACATTCTTTAATAACAAACCACAAGTGTGAGGCGTAATCCCAGTGGTGGTCTTCTACAGAACAGCAACAGGTAACCGGTTTCCAGTTTGTTTTGCGTGTGTAAGTTTTTTTTCCCTTCGCTATTTTACGGAATCGATGGATTTCGCGGCATAACGGACTCCGTTTTTTTAAGTTTTCCCCCTTGTTGGGCTGCTGTCATTTTGAACTACATGAGGCTCCAGGCCATGAACAGAAACTAGCTCAAGCGCTCCTTCCGTGCTCCATCCGCAACACTCAGCTGGGGAATTAGGATTCAATTACACGACAAGGTTTAAGTAAATAGATGTGTCGCTTAGATCTGTTACAGCTCAACAGCACCACCGCCCTACCAAATGGCTGCTTTAAAAAAAAATAAAACAAGATCTCGACATCAGTTCCACTCTCTGACCACTCTG